TTATAGTTTTATCTTTTTGTGCTTTCTACTGTCGTAGTCGATCGATAGTTCAGATCTTACACTGCAGATTCGAAAATTGTCGGTTACTTCTCAATCTAGTGACAACTGGCAAAAAGAAATCCACGTGGGTTACGCGAGAACCGAAAAAGCTCAAACTTTTGAGCGGATGCTTTTTGTCTTGTTTGTTTTTGCAGGACGAAACTAAACACTTCATTTTTACTTCATTTGTTCAAATCTCGCGTCACTTTTCAATATGTCCTAAGTAACACAAGTAAACAAATCCAGCCAAGCCATACAAACTATTGCTCTTGTATCATGTATGAGATACAAAAACACCCATCCAAATTTACTTTCATTTATTTAATGGTCAATGGTCAAAAATTGTCCAATTTACAGTTTGAAATGATGGGTACATGATTGTTACTTCGGTCATTCGGACTGCCAAACTTGATTGGTGCTTATTTTCTAAAGGCGGGGCCAATCTAATGTTTGGTATTCTTCTCTGAAATCTGTAAAAGGGAATCTAGTATCATGTAGAACAAAACGTCCAATGTAACACTCATTGATTATGTCATTGAGAAAAATCGTCCAATGTAACATGTCCGATGTACAACTTGACTTGTCAAAATGTCCTATGTATTTTTTTCTATATTGTAGCATGAAATTCAAAGTAAAATTGTGATTTTACCGTTCTACTGAATTTTCAACGCGTTTATTCACTGACTAGATGAAAAATAGTATTGCAAAATGAATTGTTTCTAAGAAGATAAAATAATAATCTGTTGAACTTCAACTTCGGCTTTCTCAAAATGGCGGATATGTTACATTGGTCTATTTGAAAAGTGATGCGAGAAATCACGAAAATAGAGGAAACTTTCACAACCCGGTGAAGTCATCCGAGGTATAAACAAAAACAAAAGTTGCCGAAATTAAAAATTTGATCGACATCAGTGTTGCAAGCTTCCCTCTGAGTAACTTTTCTATTATCAACTCTGGGTGAAAAAAATGTTGCCTACGCGCCTGTCACTGGGCTGAATGTTGACGTTTCACACAGCGTTGCCAGATTGTTTTCAAGCTTATCGGTACCAAGCGAAATTTGAAACTTTTGAACTTTCCTAGGAATTCGGAAGAAATTTTCGGAGAATGTTTCAATTAGCTTCTGAAAGAAGCAAAAAAAAAACTTCCAGAGAAAGAAGAAAAAAAAAACTCTGATGGAGGAAGTTTGAAGAAAAGTCGAAAAAACATCCAGGAAACTTACAAGTAAAATATGGAGAGACTTTCGGGAAAAACTGGGTGACACACCGTAAGCCAGAACGGCTTCGGAGATTGGAAGAAAGGAGTTGCGGTTTCCAAAGGAAGCTAGATGTAGCTCGGAAAAATCTTCCGATATAAGGCGGAATAAACGTCAGGAAGAATCTCATCGATAAACTTCCTTTGGAATTCGGTAGATACTTTCGGTAGAAGTTTATAGGCCCTAGCTGGTGAAGATGGAAGAAACTTCTTAAGAAAGTCGGAAGCTTCTTCCGGTGTTGCCAGAGGTATTCGGAACAGTCGAAAGAAACTTCTAGGACAAGTTGAAAAGAAATATTCCGGAGCAAATATTTCTGGAGATGTCGATAGAACTTTCCAGTGGAAATCGGTAGAATCTTCTAGGGAAAGCTACACAGCAAAAAAAAAAAGTTGTTGAATGTTACATCGAAACTGCTGCAACCAGGTCAATCCATCGGTTGTGTAATATCACATTGTACGATGTACATCGATTTTGCGAACAAAATTACATCCATTGATGTAAAATTGTATCTGCTTTTTGCTATTACATCATTATTTCATACATCAGCTTGAATAACGTTGATCGATATTACATTTTTTTTTGCTGTGTTTCACAATATTTCGGGAGAAGCTGCAAAAAACTGGCGGACGAAGATGAAAGAACCTTTCAAGCGAAACCAGACGAAGCTTCGAAGGGAAGTTGAAAGTAATTTCCAGGAGGGATCGCAAAAAAGGTGGAAGAAAATAACAGGTAACAGTTATATTTCCAAGGGAAGATCAAATAAACCTGATGGTCATATTTGGTATCATTAAAGATAAAAATATGTCTCGATTCCCAGGAATGATCGAGATAAGCCGTCAGCTGTTTCTTGATTCCTGGGTAGCCAAAAACAGAGAGGAAATTGAAACACTAGTCGAAAGAGTATCAAGCATAAGAAATTGTTAACGCAAGGCTCAACAACTTTAAAGCTTGCTTCAGATAGAATTGGAACAAAAACAATTGCCTGTATTTCAGTTATTTATTATTGAATTCAAGATCTTTTTTTATACAAATGTAGCGTTTTCTTCATACTTTTAAGAAAAAATACGGATAAAATTATTCGTCACGGTTTCGAAGGCATTCTCGAATTTTTCCTGTAACACGGCTCATTAGGCGGCGCACACCTTCTTCGTCCATCGTTTTAGCTATCTTATTCCACCAGGTCTTCATCTGATTGATGTCTTTGACAACCTTTCCCTTTGCCTTGAGTCTCCTCTTCATGATTGCCCAGTATTTCTCAATAGGGCGGAACTGGGGGCAGTTGGGTGGGTTAAGGTTTTTCGGAACAAACTGGACCCCTTTCTCTGCATACCATTCTTGAACGACTTTGCTGTAATGACAGCTTGCCAAATCTGGCCAAAACATTACGGGATGGTCGTGGGATCGAATGAACGGCAAAATTCGTTTTTGGAGACACTCTTTTTGGTATAGTTCCGACGTCATTGTCTTATTTGTAACGAAAACTTCACACTATTCTGTTTTATGGTCCGATTTGGCTGTTTGCTAGCTCGATACGACTTGATTCCTTCCCGGAGTCGAGTTCTCCTCACGGTACTATGAACAGCACCGAAATTTCTGGCCAAATCACGGTCCGACAGATTGAGATTCCTCTTAATCGTCTTCAAAATCTTACCACGCAGTTTCCGGTCGACAGTTCCACTCCGACGATTGGCTTGAGGCTTCCGAATCGTCGAAAATGTTTCCTTATACCGTTTGATAACGCGCCATACGGTATTTCTGGGCAATTTCAGCTGTTTAGCTAGCCTAGATGCAGACCACAATGGATTTTCCAAATAACTGTGCACAATTTTTTCCCTTCTTTCGGCTTCCATGTTGATTGTTTACAAAGTACAGTCGATTTGCGGAATGTCAAAAATACATACGTAAAGCTGACAAAATTCCCGACACGTGGGCGCCAAGAACTTCCAAATCCGTCCACCAGGAGCACCACAATATGAGCAAAAGTTTGTTCCAATTCTAAATGAAGCAAGCTTTAACATACTCTAAAAGATAAAAGTCTATCACAATGGTTTTGTCTGACATGTGAGCGCGGCAGGAAATAATAATTTTGATTATTTAAAAAAATCGGTATCAATCGGTATAAAATCTAAAAAATCGGTATTATGAGGAACCTTATCGGTATATCTGCCAACGCTGCTTTCAAAGTCCATGAACCATCTTCCCGTTTTCGAGAACAGGCTTACGATAAGCACAACTCATTAACTTTAATCACGTTTATCAGACCAAGATCATGATTTTCAGAACAGAGAGAAAGAGAGAATCACTACTCTTCGGATAGAGTTATACCAACAATCAATACGAAACTAACGATTTTAAATTGGCGCAACTACTTTACTAGCCTATTGGTCCCAAGCAAATCGATTGAGATACGTTCTAGTATAAATTTCAGTACTACACTATGTTTGTTTTGATTCGCTATGAAAGTTTGACAGATAAAATGAGGGGTTCGTGGATTTTCCTATGTTTCGAGGGGTGCATCAATTAGCTTGGGACCGAAGATAGTACCAGAGCTGAGCCAAAAAGTTGAGCTCGTTTCTTCGGGACCTTATGGTCTTAGAGTTACCTCTATGGTTATACAAAAGTGGTAACTCTAAGACCAGAAGGTCCCGAAGAAACGTGCTCAACTTTTTGGCTCAGCTCTGGAACTCTCTTTGGTCCCAAGCTTATCGATGCACCCCTCGAAACAAAGGAAAATCCACGAGCCCCTCATTTTATCTGTCAAACTTTCATAAATATATGTATCGCTATAGCGAATCAAAACAAACATAGTGTAGTATTAGAATTTCGACTAGAATGGGATACGTTGATCGACATGCTTGGGATCAATAGGCTAGTCAAGTAGTGAGTCAATTTAAAATCGTTAGTTCCATATGCTCGATGCTATGTTACTGTTAATGTATCAAATTATAGTAAAAAGTCACTTGTCAGGAACATTATTTTGCAACAATCAATAACCCCTCCCAGCGCTGCATACCTAACACATGGAAAAACAAATGCATCTGCTCTCATCTAAACTATCAGCCATCTCGGTGTAAAAACACTCATTGAATATTATCACACAATTTAAAACAAACCCCCTCCTTATACCTCTTTCATGCTCTGTCCAACATATCTCGCTAAACTGTTGCATTGTTTCCAGCAGCCGTCCGTTCTCAGCCTCGGCACCAGCAATACGAATTTTACCATTCTACCATCCGAGCCAGAGCAAGCCCTACCAGCAAGCAACCGAACCGTATTTATGTTCGAAATATTTATTTCGAACCAACTGCTCCCTCAACATCTCGTCCAACAAGTAACAATATACAACCCATTCGGTAGTTGCCAGGCTGAACTAGTAAATTGTCCAACAAGAGCCTGCCTTCGGGTTATAAAAGCGATTTTTATCGCATTTTTAACACCGCAGCCCGATCTGGTGTTTTACAGTTCGAAAACAAAGAAGCACCACATTAAAATGTAACAAGTTGAGTGGGGACTGCGGAGCGGAAATAAATGAGTAGAAAACAATTGCCCCCAACCCATATCGCTAACTATCTGCACTGACACTGCTAAAGTGCATCCTTTTCAGAATTTTATTCCAAATCGCTTCCACTTCAGCAGATTCAACCGAACGACGAAACCAACTGAATAATTCAGCTCACAATAACCCCCAGCACCTACAGCAAACACTTACCTCGAGTTGGACCGCTTGGAGGAATCCTTCTTCCGGTCCCCGGTCAGATTCTTCAGGTCCTTTTGCCGCTTTTTCGTTTCCCGCCATATCCGGTAGTAGAGGAAGCACATAACCGTCACCGGTACGTAGAAGGCGGCAATGGCCGTTCCGAAGGTAATGTAGTGATTGGTCTCGATGAACTGGATGTAGCACTCCTTCTCGGGCACCGTCCGCTTGCCCTCGATGTAGGGCCAGCTGTAGATCCATGGAGGCCACAGCAGCAAACTGATGCCCCACGCGGCACCAATCATGATCGCCGCCCGGGTCGTTGTACGCTTCGCTCGATATGTCAGAGGCCTAGTTACACTAAAGTACCTATCAAAGCTTATGATTAGCAGATTCAGCACGGACGCATTCGATGCCAGGTAGTCCAGCGCTAGCCACGTGTCACATATGTGGGGTCCCAGGGGCCAGTAGCCCAGCAGGGTCGTCACCGAGAACAGTGGCATCGATATCAGTCCGATCGCAAAGTCCGCAATGGCAAGCGAGAATAAAAAATAGTTGCTGATTGTTTGGAGCTGTTTGTCGATCTTGAACGAGATCATCACCATCACATTGCCGGCCACCGTCAGGATACTCAGCACCGTGGCGATGATACCGAGGATGATGATCTGAACCAACGAATAGGTGGGTTCGAGTTCCGCCACGGTTTCGGTTTCGTTTCCGCCGGTGGTGCCGGCCGTACTGACGCCGAGTGCCGTCGCCATCGTCGTTGTCGGGGTAATGTTGAAGAACAGGTCTTCAATCGAGGAGCCCATCGTCCCGGTGCTGCCCAAAATGCTGGTGACACTGGCACTGTACCGGGGCAGGAAAGTGCCCACCGTCGTCCTCGGGTCGTAGTAAGCCATCGCAGGTTGATGACGCTGGGACGCTGACTGCTACCGGTGGTTGTCGGTTCGTCGGTGAACGCTGGCTGGCGAGGCGTTCTGGAAGGAGACGGAAATGGTGTCGGTTAGTTGTGTGATTGCTTTGTGAGAATTATATACATGTAGCTAATTGAAAAAAATAAACGAATAATGGGTGTTTATTTGATTTATTGATACGCAGTTCTCCTTGATTTGTTTTCCGCCGATTTTGTTTTCCGTGCTGAGCACCAATGCTACCAACCCCAAGGAGGCAGCTCCCACACCTGTACCTGGCTTGTTATGCCTCAGTAAATCCCGGCGGCGCTGACTGGGATTAAATCCGTACACCTAAAAAATGAATCGAAATCCGTACACCAGTAACGTTACACCAAATCAAGCGGAGAATATTTCAAACTCGAAAGGATTCCGGATCAGGAATCGAGCCTGCCACTCCCAGTATGGTCTGATGTATGATTCATTGCACACAGGGAGCTCTCGATATCTCATTGAGTATTATTGGAATATTTGCATGATTTACCCCATCAACCATCCATGACAGGGCATGCCTTAGCCTCACAGCATGAATAATCAAAAAAGCATCCCTTCTATTTGGATATTACCGGTTATTTCCACCCACCCAACCGTTGCCAATGTTGCACGGGCGTGGGCGTGACCCAACCCGGCCTACATAATTGCGAAAACAAAATTAACTGAAAATTAAAACCCACAAAATGCAGACGAAGCTTTCTATACCCACCGCTCCAATTATAACTTCGCGTGGGTGCACTCAGCAACGTGGAAAGGGTTGAATGGCATGAATCAAAAAAGTTGGTCTTATCCAACTTGCACCCGATGAAATCGGATTTGGTTTGCTCAACCACTACCACTGAAGATTTATACGGTGAATATATGTATAGTCAGGTTTGTGGTTAAGGATCCACCAGGGACGCCATTTCCAGTTTTGAAAACAATAACTATTCACAGGAGGACTGGAATCTGGAACACGTGTAGGAAATAACCAGTTTGGATGTGGGCACGTTTTTTAGGGCGTGATCGGTGGGAGTAGGAGGAAACGGTCAATGAATTGTGCTGTTGAAAGAACGTAGATTTATGACTTTTGAGGACAAATTTCTTGCCGTTGGTGAGAATTCAACTGTAGTTTTAGTTGAACCCACAGATCATATATTTTCTGTAGAAACCTTCGAAACAGGGGAAGAGCATCCTTCTTAGGGTGCATAAGGGTGGTTCAAATAATCAATTTTACTATGAAGCACTTTCATTAGCGATAAACTGTCGTGGCTGGCAATACTGATATTAATAAAAAAAAACAAATCTGGTAGTGTATTCTCCTTTTCTTCACTAGCTTCAACTATTCGACTGTATACACATCTCACTGCTTATTTACGTTTGTTTGCACAAGTATGCACAAGGAACCGGTGGAAACTAACGATTTTAAATTGGCTCACGACTTGACTAGCCTATTGGTCCTAAGCAAATCGATTAACGTACCCCATTCTAGTCGAAATTCTAGTACTACACTATGTTTGTTTTGATTCGTTATGAAAGTTTGACAGATAAAATTAGGGGTTCGTGGATTTTCATATGTTTCGAGGGGTGCATCAATTAGCTTGGGACCGAAGAGAGTACCAGAGCTGAGCCAAAAAATTGAGCACGTTTCTTCGGGACCTTCTGATCTAAGAGTTACCTCTACAGCACAAATGTTTGTACTGCGCTATCTAATTGAACGAGTGCGAGCAGGACGGATTCACAGATATTCTGCCGTGTCAAGTGCACGTCACGCGAAAATTGATAGAAGTGGTTACTTTCAGTCAGGCTTGCTTCCTTTCATTTGAGATAAAAAAAAATATTTTGAATTTTGGAATCATAAGATGTTATTACGATATTTCGTGGGGTGACCTCGGCGTAGTGGTTAACATCCATACCTCTCACGCCAAAGTCACGAGTTCAAATCTCATCCCCGGACAAGTCACAAATAACCCAAGAGCGTTAAAGTGACTATAATTAAAAAAAAAAAAAGTTGGAAGGGTTGTATACTAGATACAACCGCAGGGTTGGCGTTGGATAACGTCTGTTATGTGTTGTACTTAATTGTGTATATTATATTTTAGGAATATTCCTTAATAACTCTTTTGCGAAAGTTTGGTGGCCCTGAAAAGGGCCGTTTTGTTGGGCTGATGTTGTTGACAATGATGGAACGGGTGACCTTGTTGGACGCTTATATAGTAGAACAGCAAATATCAGAGGTGTCAGATACTCGCATCTGATGTCTCGGTTGGAGAAAGTATAAGAATATAAAAAAATCAATCGATTTTCACCATCTTTAGACAATGGTTTACTTTTAACCATTTTTCAATAGTTTACAGAATGAAATCAATAGTTTTGAAACATTCAGCAAATTGCTAGAAATATTTCCAATCGATTGATGCCATTATCTCGTAAATCTATCGAGAGACGGTTGAGTTATTATCGTTCAAAATCTTTTAATTTTTCGTAACGCATCCAAAATGACTGTTTTCAATTTTGTACCCCCGTATGTTGCCAAAAGACGTTATCCAACGTCAAAAATATATTTCGTACTTGTTAGATACAAGAAGGGGTTGGAAGGCAAGTGTTTGATACATAAAACTTTAAGATAGTCACAATCAACGATTTTACGACTAACGAGTGCTCACTCTGAGTGAAGCCTCACGAATCATACAATCGCACTGAAAATAAAATTTTGTTTATATGTACAACGAAATCGCTCGTTTGTTCTACGAATTTATTCGTTGTTTTCTGCAACGAAATGGATTTGTACATTGTATGAAGCTAGTTTCGTTAGAACTGCCACATTCGCTATCGCTACACCCAACCAGCGGGCCACAAGTGTTGGTTGTGGAGACCGAAAAATGTGGATTGTGTTAGTGAGGATGGGTTAAAATAATTGTAAGGGATAAACATGATAAAAATATAAAAAATAGGTTTCAGACCGGACTCGAATCATGAACCTTGCGATAGCCAGATCTGTGCCTTATCCACCACTCTATCTGTGCTACGAAAAAAGGGAAGGCTAAAGGAAAATAAGAAGTACTCATGGAGCGTTAATTCCTTTTTCGTTTGCTTTTTCTGCTGCTTGCATGTATTTTTTTTTCCTCTGACATAAAACCACCGTGACCAGTATTTTGATTTATTGTTGTAGCTTGAATGTATTGGTCAAACCGACAATATTAAAAAAAAGTATCCCATCTCCAACACACAATCAGAACTTTAGGAGACAATAAGCGCAGTTGTTGGTTTGATTGTACGAAGATGAATTTGTATATTATACGAATAAGGCGTAATATTGACATTGCGCCAGATGACAGGGAAACGAATGTTTAGTACCATTTATGAAAGATGTACATACACGATATTCAATTTTACGAAAAGGTTTTCAGAGAAATAACGAAAATAAATTTTCAGTGCGCTGATTGTGACACTCTGTAGGCTAGATTGACAAGTTTCATGTGTCATACACATACTTTACAACCTCTTCTTCTAACTTATAAATGCAAAACATCATAAGGGGCTGTTCATTAACGACGTAGACAGTTTTTTAGGGATTCTTGACCCCCCTCCTCCCCCTTCGTAGCCAATTTTCCATACAAAAATATTAAAATTTGTATGGGCCGTGAATAATTGACCCCCCTCCCTCCTAAGCTGTCTACGTAGCTTATGAACTGCCCCTAATAACATCTAATAATTTTAAAATTCAGAAAAACATTTTTTTAAAGCAAGTGAGTTGAAGCAACCCTGCTATCGGTTACAATCATCCTTTACACGATTTCCGCTCAAAATTGGAAACGGAGTGACACGTCGGTTTGTCAGTGCTTTCACATTTCAGCAGTTCCATTTCAAATTACGATTTTTTTTTTATCGACGTTCTACGATTATGTTGAAACACAGTTGTGTGTTATTATCCAACATGCCATTTTACATATTTGGTTCCCTAGTTTTGTACACGATTAACACTTGAAAAGGGCTTATGCAAAAATAATACGCATCAATAGAAAAACATTTATCTCGCGAACGATTTGTTTGATCGAGATGGTGTCTTCTGCGAAGTTGCGGACAAGTATTGTGCCTTTCAAGAAAAAAATATACACTGTAAAAAACTATTTTATAATTTACAAAAAAAATATCAAAATTATAAAAAAAATTAAAATAGCTCAAATTTCTTTTTTTTTTTAATTTATATTGTAGTTTAGATTAAATAATTCCTACTGATAATGTCAATTTGCTGGACAATTGATAAACAAAAAAGTTATGAATTATTGAAAAAAGGACTATTTACCAAAATACTACGTACAGTTATCGAATATCTTTGAATTGGTGTTATTATTAAAACACATTAAATTCACAGCGAAAAAGCTCTTGGTGCTTAAATTGCCCAAATTTGTTATTTTCCAAATACTCGTAGGTTAAAATTCACTTAGCGATTAAACAAGTCGGGTGATCCTGGCCAGAGAGACTACTAATCCTTCTCTCCTTCTTTATGCTTCTTATGGTTGCTTTCTATTCCACCGTGGTCTTCGAAACTAGCTAGCCATATATGGGGGCAAATAGGAAAAATCTTACTCATAATTAATTAAATCATAACTCATGCGTATGATTGAAAAACTGTGAACCGCAAAGTTTAAGGAAATTAATTGAGCTTTTCGTTTGCGATGCATGGATTCAGGATGGCAAGTTGATGCTGCGTATATGGATCTAAAAGCTGCATTTGACACGGTGGACCATAATATCTTGCTTGCCAAGCTGAAGATACTTGGCGTCTCGTCAACGGCTGTGGATTGGTTCAGATCTTACTTGGTGAATCGCTATGTACGGGTTAAGATTGGCGCGTCGGAATCGGATGTTTTCTCAAACAACTCGGGAGTTCCGCAAGGCAGTAACCTAGGACCACTACTGTTTTCTTGCTCAAGACATTTGACGAGTCTAGGCATCGAAAAATGTAACATCACAGACAAACAGACAAAACACATTGAATATTTCTCAAGGTAAAACATCATCGCTAAAACATTACCGCCATCTGTTGGGTA